ATCTTCTGAAGACATCAACTTGATTCAATTGCATCTTTATACACTTTTTTAGTTTTTACCTGAAAAATACCCTTCTGGACCACTGTGCATTGGTTTTTTTTTTCGTTCTACGAATAAAGGTAGCACAAAATAGATTTGTCAGGAGCGCTCAAACGCCATTGAATTCACTTCGGCCTATTGGGTGAAGATAAAAATTGATTCGGTCGGAGAGCTTCTTCTGGTTGTGAGCAAAATGGATGTAAACATTCATATCACGCGTTCTCATTGACTTTGTTCAGTAGCTTTTGAACTAAAGTATCGTACCAAACGCAAACTCTGAAACAATTGATGTTTTCTGCTCGATAGAACAAAAATGTGCGGTTACGATGAAGTAGCGCTCTACCAATGTCCTTTAAATAAGGTCCGGGAAAACAGGCTTATTGGTGTTAGTGAAATGTGCAAATGTTTAGTGGTGTTCGTATTTCATTGCAATGTTTATCTTTTTTCGCGAAACAGCTGTTGGTGTAAATCTCACTGTTCGCAGTATGGCATGTTATGTACACTTAGATTTTTCGCCGAGATGGGCACCACCGAGTAGCTCGGCATTTTATTTTGCTGGATTTCAGTGGAAAACTGAACTGAAATTCGATGAGATTTTTCCAATTAAATTTGATTTTTATACAAACAAACATCATGAAAATGGTCATCTTGGAAAAAATAAATTGTGAGAAATTGGACAGTATGATAAGTTATTTTTTATTAAATTGTTGCGGAAAATAAATTAGCTATAATGAATCATCAGCGTTTAGCGGCGCCGATGGTGTAGTGGTAAGCGTGATAACCCCAAAAGGCCTGGGTTCAATCCTAGTCGTCGCCACCAGGATTTTCTGATGCATGAAATCTCTGATCACGGGGGAAGGGAAGTAAAGCCGTTGGTCCCCGGTATATGAGCTGTAGATTCATCTTTAAACCGGTCGTGAATTTAAAATCCATGCTTCTTTCAACAAGATTCGAAATAGCCAGTTTCTAATAAAATTTCATAGAAAATTAAATATTTCAAAGAAAATTCAGAGCATCATTAAGATTAAAATTAATTTTGATGCAATGCTTACAAAGGACAGGAGACCCATGTGAATTCTGATAATAAATCAAAGGAAATCTGGGTATAATAGTTCCAAATGAATTATTTGGTGAACATCGATTATATTTAACAAATTAGGAAAAGGGGCTTCATTTTCATGTTTGGACAAGGGCACTACAAACCCTCAAAACACCGTTGACCTCTAGTAAAAGTATGTAGGATTGTGACCATTGAACAGAGTTACTCCCAGCAAGTTAAAAATCGAACAACGTTGTGCATTTTGACAATTCGATTAAAACCGACTTGGACAGACGTACTAAAGGGTGTCCACGATGAAATTGCCACACTATGAAATTGCTCTAACTTTTTAACCGTTGGGTAGAATTTAATGAAAATTTGGGTAGATTTAGTTCATAGTGCATTATTTACATCCTGCAAGTTTTAAAGTCATGTGATCAAAACTCGCGGAAATGGAGTCGAAAGAACAGCTCGTGCGTGATAAAATCTTGCGCATTCATCACGAGAACAAGGATCTCTCGCATCGTTCCATCGCTAAAACGTTGGGAATCGCAAATTCCACGGTGTCGCGAGTGATTAAGCGGTTCGAGGAACGGTTGACCACCGATCGGAAGGCCAGAAGTGAAGGAAAAAGTATTCCGTACAACACCAAAAATCACAACCGCGTAGTTGGGGCCTTCAACCGAAATCCGAACGCCTCCGTTAGGGGTGTGGCTAAGAAGCTGCACCTAAGCCGAAGTTTTGTCCAGAAGGCCAAAACTAAGGCTGGGCTTCGAACGTTCAAGGTACAAAAGGCCCCTAATCGCGACGAGAAGCAGAACAAGTCCGCCAAAACCCGTGCCAGGAAGTTGTACCTCAACATGCTGACGAAAGTTGAATGCTGCATCATGGACGACGAAACATATGTGAAGGCCGACTTCAAACAGATCCCCGGCAACCTGTTTTTCACGGCCAAGGATAAGTTCAGCGTTCCGGAGCATGTCCGCACTCAGAAGATGTCCAAATTTGCGAAGAAATTCCTGGTTTGGCAAGCCATCTGCACGTGCGGGAAGCGGAGTGCAGCTTTCGTGACCCAGGACACGATGAACGGACAGGTGTACATAAAAGAGTGCCTCCAGAAGTGGCTGCTTCCTCTCCTGAAGGCCCACAACGTCCCAACAATCTTCTGGCCGGATTTGGCCTCATGCCACTACTCCAAGGACGTGCTGAAGTGGTAGGCGGACAATAAGGTCAATTTCGTGCCGAAAATGTTCAACCCTCCCAACACTCCGGAGCTCCGCCCCATCGAGAAGTACTGGGCGATTATGAAGCAGCACCTGCTTAAACGACCTAAGGTAGTGAAGAAAGTCGAGGAACTGAAGAAAGTATGGGTTTACATGCAAAAAACGGTTGATTCACAGGTTGTGCAGAATCTTATGGCCGGGGTTAAGGCCAAGGTGCGGGCATTTGCGTATGGACTGTAAATAAAATACGAGTAAAATGGTAAAATGAAGTTTAAAAGTTATTTCTCAATCCCTGAAAATTTGATGGCAATCGGATGAAAACTCGAATTTTGCGAATCAATTTTGTGTGTGGCAATTTCATCGTGGACACCCTTTAACTTCCACTTTACATGGAACTGCTTCCTTATGATAAGAAATTTGAAATCGACAATTTATTTTTAACAACTGAATGTTTTGATGATAAGGGCTGAATTTGTTTTTGGTTTAGGCTTATCCTGCTGCTCATTTGATGACAAACTTCACTAAAATAGTCAGTTTTTGAAACCGGCTCGGGTCTACGTTCCCACCCGGGAACAAATCCGATTAAATTTTCATGAATAAAAAATCATGATATTAAAAAACTTGCAATCCCATAACATCATGATATTGATTCATGATTTCATGATGGAAACACATGATTTCATAATGCAGCGGAATTATGACCACTACAAGCATTACGTGTACCTGATAAGCTGTGTTCATAAAACGCACTGCATAGGTAGCTCTTATACGCCTTTTGCCTTCCGCCTTTTACAAGAACTGGTAGTCTAGTAGTTGAACTTTAAGTTTAATGATACAGAGGTTCTTGGTTCGAATCCAATCTGATGCTTTATTTTTTTTTTATTTTGGTTTTAAAGCTAAAAATTAAATTCATAAATTTAGTTTATGATTTTAACTCGAATGATTCATGATTTCGGGAATATTGGTTGTGGTTTTGGAGGTTATATTTATCCCCGTGCACTACAAAATAGTTCCAATTCGCACGAATTTGAACTAGGTGCAATTTGAATGATATTGGAATTCAATTCGAATGATAATTTAACATTTGGAATTCGTCATTCGAAAACTTTTACCGTCATCGTTTTATTCGATGTCTGCAACAGTTTTTTTTGTTGCTATCACATGAAATCTTCAATTAAAAATAATGTGTTTCAGTCCTATTCAACACCTTAACGATCATATCAAAGATAGTTCACCAACTATAGTGCATTTTTGTCTTCTAAATTGTACAGGAAACTATTTGGCTGACGAAGCACCTAATATACCCTCAAACTGGATAAGTGTATATAAAGGGTGATACGGTCAAAATTTGGTCAAGGGAAAACGCGTGTAAATCGGTGAAATCGTTTATTTAAAAAATCAAATTAAATTTCTTTTTCAAGTTCAATTAGTATAAAATTCAGGAAAAATATTCAGTTAGGCTTCCGCTTTTCCAAATCCGAATTGCCGGGCCTTACGCTTGACCCCTGCCATCAGATTTTGTACAGCCACCTTGTCCACCTTCTTCGCCGCAGAAAGCCAGTTTGCCTTGAACTGCTGCTCGCCCTTAGCAGTTTTTTTGGTCTTCTTTAGGTTCCGCTTGACAATAGCCCAGTATTTCTCAATTGGGCGGAGCTCTGGCGTGTTGGGAGGGTTCTTGTCCTTGGGAACCACCTGCACGTTGTTGGCGGCGTACCACTCCATGGCCTTTTTACCGTAATGGCAAGATGCCAAATCCGGCCAAAACAGTACGGAACAACCGTGTTTCTTCAGGAAAGGCAGCAGACGTTTATTCAAACACTCTTTCACGTAAATTTCTTGGTTGACAGTCCCGGAAGCTATGAAAATGCTGCTTTTCAAGCCACAGGTACAGATGGCTTGCCAAACCAGATATTTCTTTGCGAACTTTGACAGTTTCATGTGCTTGAAAACATCTGCTACCTTTCCCCTTCCTTTTGCCGTATAAAACTCCTGTCCCGGAAGCTGCTTGTAGTCGGCTTTGACGTAGGTCTCGTCGTCCATTACCACGCAGTCAAACTTCGTCAGCATCGTCGTGTACAGCCTCCGGGATCGCGCTTTGGCCGTCGTATTTTGTTTATCATCGCGATTTGGAGTCACTACCTTCTTGTAAGTCGATAGTCCGGCTCGTTTTTTGGCTCGATGCACGGTTGTAGACGATACACCCAGCTTATTTGCGGCATCTCGGAGAGAGAGGTTAGGGTTTCGCTTGAAACTATCGGCAACTCTCTTTGTCGTCTCAGCGGCTTCCGGTTTTCGATTTCCCCCCGATCCAGACTTCCTGGCTGTCGACAAACGTTCCCCAAACACTTTAATTACATTTGTAACGGTTGATTTGGCAACCTTTAGCGATTTTGCCAACTTTGCGTGCGAGTAGCTCGGATTTTCGCGATGCACGAGCAAAATTTTGATACGCTGCTCTTCTTGCTTGGACGGCATTTTGACAACTGAAGAGTGAATTCCAAAATCAAAATAGGAGCAACATTCTACACACACACACCTTCAAAATGAGGGGTGTTCAGGTTTTTTAAATGCAAAATTGAAAGAAATACGTCAAGTTGATATTGACCAAATTTTGACCGTATCACCCTTTATGCACACGAATAGTAGATAATAATGCCACATATAAGGATTAAGTTTATTATCTCCGGGAAAGCACTTACCTCCGGTGCCGGTGCCATATGTTGAACATGATGAGTGCTAACGCCACTAGAATGCCACAGCTTGAGACGGTGCTCATACAGATAAATAGAGGTAACGAAACAGTCCTCAATACCCTGCGCACGATTGTCCTGTCTTGAGGTACCTAGAATGAAAGAAGGCAGAATTGAGTGTAGATGTGATACGTTATTTCAACACGATACTCTTGAATTTTGTGTAATTCATACGTGGAAGTTTTTATTTTTAAAAGAATCATGACACTTTATTGTTTAGTGTTGCATGTTGCAGGTTAAGAATCATATAATTTGATTTGTTTCAAAAACAATTATTTCGAAACAATACTCATGCAGCTGCTAAGCTTTTTATGTTTGTGTAGCGGGCATTTTACTGACTCTCATCTTAGTTTCCTATACTAGACCTGTGTGCCGCTCATTTCATCGACGGAAACGGTGGCGAAGAAGCTGTTTGACTTTGTTCGGTGGAGGCGTCGTGCATCGGTGTATCACTTTGGTCGTCTTTAAAATATCGCATTTACAACATGAATTCAAGTAAGGTAACATAAATTAATGCTGTCGTTTCCAATTTTTCATAAAAAATTGTTTTTTTTTTTCCTTTGGTTTGTTTTTTCTGTCGATCTTGTTTTCCGTGCTGAGCACCAATGCTACCGACGTGCCAGGAAGGCAGCTCCCACACCTGGACCCTACCTATCGACCCATCAACTCATGAACCGGGGACCAACGGCTTTACTTCCCATCCGAAGGAAGGCGTGATAAGAGATGTTATGCCTCAGAACATCCCGGCGGCGCCGACTGGGATTGAACCCAGGCCTGCTGGGGTGAGAGGTAATCACGCTTACCACTACACCACCGGCGCCGTTCATAAAAAACTGTTGAAAATGTACAAATGAAAAGTGGTAATTTTATCACTGTTTTCATGAAATAAACGTTCTCCCTCGCATTCTCCTTACACCCAGTCGTCATAATCGAGTACCACTGGGTTGCACATCGTTCTGCATGAATCTTAAAACTTATAAAACAGCGTTGCTGTCGTGCCTTAACTCATTTTCGCTTCGGACGGCGAATGAGCAGATTGCAGCACCCCAAACCATGCGCGTAGTTCCCGTCGAGCTCACTAGCTGATGGCAGCGAGCCCCGGCCCCGTCACCTCGATGGTGCAAGCACTCCGAAGTGGATCCCGCTCCATCCGGTTGGGGAAAATTTCCCCTATCTGACGGTAGTGTTAGCATGCGTGGGCGAGCTACCAGTTACTCCAAATCGAGGATCAAATACGTTGTTTACAAAAGCTGATACGTCCCTTCGAAAAAGTAATCAAGAAATACTTTTTGGACTGTGTCCCAATTGCCGAGTTAAATTTAACTCGTGGTTAAACGTGACATTTCGACAGTTATTTTCAATGTTCGAAAATCCCGGTTTTTTCGATCGATCGGTTGCCTATATTCAACTTCTACTCGGTCAGAAATAATCACGCTCGGATAGCGAGGTTATTCGATAACTTTCCATCTGTCACTTTTAACTACGAGTTAAATTTAACTCGCTAATTGGGAAACAGCCATGGAAGTAATATAAAGGACCAGCCATAAATTACGTAGCATTTTTTGACCAACTAACCCCCCTTTCCCTTCGTAGAGTGCTATACCTAATACATGGTCGGTCACATTTTCTGAAACCCCTCCCCTCCTCAACTGCTAAGTTATTTATGTATATTCCCTAAGCGATTATTGAGAAATTGGGCAACAGGGAAAGTCAGTGCTGTGTATCAACATTTATTTTCCTATTTTAATATTCAGGTAGGGCTACCTCAGAATGCTGTAAAAAAGCAAACAAAAAACTGGTTGGACATTTATGCGAAATTTCGTAATTGATCGTGAATATCTCGCTATCAAAACATGTAGACTTGAAATCCCTCCATTTAATTTTTGGTACATCTTTTATCCACCGATTGAATTAAAAAAATACTAAATATAAGTTTTTTTAGATTTCATGCGTTTTATGAACGCAGATCCATTATTTTGCATAAGAAAACGGGGAATTCCTGCGAAATTATCAGACGGTACCTCTATTTATGCTTTTAGATTAGCTATGTAAGTCCATCCGACTTGTAACATTATGCTATAGAACGGTTAGTAAAATTTCGGTTTTTTTTTCTGATGGGGGCACTGCGGATGAACCAACTGTTGTGGTGCTCACCAAGTATCCGACAAGCAGTGCCCTAAACGCGAGGATTTCAAGCGCATCCGAAAACAGGCGTCCACCAACAATCAACCGGGACGAAGGAAGGATAAGGCCCTGGTTTTCAGGGCGGAGGACTTTCCATCTCTTCATGGACAAGCAAATTCACGGGTGAGATCCGCACCCCCTCAAGAAACGTCTGGATCTTCTGCTGGACAAAGCTCTTCATCCCTCCTGGATTCTGGAGACAACCAACAGCTCAAACAAATAATCCCGATCTGTTGTCAGCGGATGAACTGATGGAGATTTTCATCAACATGACCGATGGTCGTAAGTGCCGCAATAAGCCCGAGTGCTCGGTAAGCAGGGTTGCTTCCACTCACTTGCTATAAAAAAATGATTTTCTGAATTTTGAAATCATTCGATGTTATAATGATATTTTGTACTTGTTAGATACAAGAAGCGGATGAAAGGTAAGTGTTTGACACATAAAACCTAGTTGAAGATGCTAATGACTTCACGTAGAAGTAATACTAAAAACATATAGTCAAAGTACATAACTCTGGATGGGAGCATACCATGAATTACTGTCAATGGTCGAAAGGTACCTACCCCACCCGTGTCCCCTCGAGATCGTCAAGTCGACGATGACAGGAGCACATATCGTGGTAGGGGTAAACAATAGTTGCAATTTCCAAACCTACGACTGGATGCCTTTCTTCAAATAACAACTGAAGTGCGGTAAAAAATCGGTAGAACTGTTTCAAACACACAGTTGGTACTTGAGCGGGTCGGTTTTCATCTCTTTTTGCCAGTGGTGGCGGGGGGGGGGGGACACCCCTCACCATCCCTCTCCAAAGGGGGAGTTTGGTAAAGAGAGATGAAAAAACCGATTTGTACCTTCCTTAAAAGTTGTCCTAGCTCGCTTGTCTAATATCTATATACAATCTTCACACTGCCGTACTCTAACGGAACTATCAACTCTATGCTTTCATCTACTCCATCTATCGTATAAAAATTACCACTACAGTCTGTTATTTGAAATTAGCATCTTCAACTATGTAAATCGTTGGCTTCACGTAGAAGTAATACTAAAAACATATAGTCAAAGTACATAAAACCTGTCAATTTCGCTACCAGAGTGTTACAATAAGCGATTTTATGATTCGTGAGCGTTCACTCAGAGTGAGCGCTCGTGAGTCGTAAAATCGCTAATTGTGACTATATGAATTTGACAGCTTTCATGTGTCAAACACTTGCCTTTCAACCTCTTCTTGTATCTAACAAGTACAAAATATGATTATAACATCTAATGATTTCAAAATTCAGAAAATCATGTTTTTATAGCAAGTGAGTGGAAGCAAGCCTGTCGGTAAGTTCATTATCCAGTATGGTGTCTAAACCGTTAACCATCGCTACCTGGAACTAACCGAAACCCGTCTTTTGGTTGCCTGACCACAACATTATCCGGCATGATCGCACCAGCTACAGGGGGGGGGGGGTGTAGCGGTCATCGTCAGAAAGGGAATCAAGTTCTGCACTCTACCCCACAACCGCACTTCAATCATCGAGGCCGTTAGTATGAAGGCGGAATCACCAACCGGAAACGTCCGGTTTACCACTGTTTACTGCCTACGCCAGTGTACCGCAAGCAACGGACTAGGAATCAAATTCAAGAACGATCTGACCGCCATCACCTTTACAAGCTCCCGTTGTGTAAAGACTACCACCATGTCAACTGGATGCCGTACAGACGAATGGTGGACAGCAGCATCGATAAAAATCCACCGCTCGATACCGTCGATGACATCGACCGGGCGTTGAAAGGACTTCAACATGCCGTATCCGTGGCTGAAGAGGCATACGTTCGACAAGTTCCTGTGAGGGGTAAGTTTGTTGCTATTCATTCCCACACAAAATTACTGATTCGGTTGAGAAATGTTCGTAGACGTCAGTTTCAGAGGACTATGTGTACGCAGGAAAAAAACACTTAGGATTAGTGATCTTCCACAAAAAAAAATCTACAAAACAAGCATCGTATTATTCACCTGACCACATCCTTACAATCGCAGGAGAAGGGAAGGAAAGTTATTCCAACATTTACTTAAGAAGGTGCAGGGATCCATACAACCTTCATACACAGACAAACAGACGTAACTCTTTGAAAAACTTGTTCTTGAAAACATAGTATCTCAAAACATATAACCTCAGTAGCGACATCTATCTGGCTTCTCGCGGAAAACAAGCTTGCTCGCTAACTCGAAAACAATATTGCATAAAAGTTCTATAGAATATATAGAAACGTCAAAGTGATCCGATGCCAGCGCTGCGGCGAGTAGTTCGCGGAACTGATAATATTCAAATCAACCGTTAAATGCATGAACGAAGATACACAATGAAGAGTTACGTCTGTTTGTCTGTGCTTCATATATGTTACAGGGAGGGTGAATGATTAAAAAACTCTCTTCGTCAATATAGAGCATTTGATAAATCTGCAATAAAATGGAATATAAATAGATACAATGAAAAGGTCTCACCCGAATGGCCTAGTGACTTTGCAGTGTCATGTTTTCGTAATTTCACCGAAAGCCTTTGTGTTGCTGAGTTTAGCGGAGGGGGAGGTGTTGTTTCCCTCCCTGTCTCCCTCTGGCTACGCCTATGAGTCCTCACTGCACAATAGATGAAGAAAACTACGTGCGGTTGGGAGGAGAAACTTAAAAACACGTCTGCACTGATCGACTACCGATCCGATCAATCACCGAGGATTCGTGGCGTATATGAAGGAAAATAAAAATATATATTTAAAGCCTTTCCCACATGAAAGCATTTCCCACAAGTGCACTATTCAAACTTAATATGCTTCATTTATTTTTCATCTACATAGGGCTTTGATCTAATTTCCGTCCTACTAAGCACAACCCGCGCTTTACCTCCTTTGTTTGAACGGGTTTGAACA